AAGGCTCATTTGAGTTCTTGAGGTGTGGTTATAGCAATATCACAGGGTTGGCTGAGGCTGTGGTGGACCAATGTCCTGGCACCCATCACACCACAGACCTGATTTCTGTAGTTGTGTCAGAGAACCATGCCATGAGGCTGAAAAGCTGCTGTAGGTTAAATCTCATCACGTATTAATCGTATCCCGGCCTCCCTCTGAGAGATGCATGCGAGGACTCAGGCTGAGTGTGCATGTGCATATTGTGTTTTATATTAGCAAAGCTCCAGCGGCTCAAACCATCTAATTTCTTGGCCTTGTGCCAGAGCCACACAGATACATTAGCACAGCCCCAGCTTGTTATGAGGCCCCTCCAGACCAACCTTTGGGAACAGCTACTGCTCAAGGTGTCTACCGCCATCAGTCCTGAGGTGCATTAAACAAACAATCGTCTTCTGCTCCGTGTAGAAGTTAATCGAGGCTATGTTGATTTTTCTATGAGCCAATTATGAGCATCAACAAGGACACCTTTCAAACACAATGTGTCCTGTGGAAATGATTGGTAACAAACAATGAATCTGTCATATTTGCTTCACAACAATCCCAAACATTCAAACTCACAAAACATTTTAAAATTTTTGATATAGCCATGAAATGCTGACACACTTTAATCCCTAAACTGGTGTGTCATACTCAGATTTTTAAAAAAATCTAAGATCAAGTTCTATATATGATGTGGTTCAGTGCAGCAACGATTAATGAGTTCAAGAATGTCAACTTTCAAAGAAAACCAGCTGTTACACAAAACCACAGCTCTCATTTTGATGTACTGACACAAACATAAACACTTATCGATGGAAAAGAATGCATGCATATCGACCGGTGTAATGTGTAACCACATTTGGCACGGGCATGCGGATAAGTATAGACAGCAGTGTGTGTAAGTAAATGATACTGTTTCAGGATTTAGGAAGGTTACATGTGGAGTACCCCAGGGATCAGTGATTGGCCCACAACTGTTTATAGTGTTTATACTTTTTATCAATGATATTTGTTGTTTTACTGACTTTGTTGGTGTTGTTGTTGCAGATTATACACATTTATTTTGTTGTGGTAAAATTGTATAATACATTTTGTGTAGTGCTAAAAGGAAGCTGGGAATTCTCAGAACTTGGTTTGATGTTAATAAATTGTCTCTTAAACTAAATTCATGATTTTTTTCGGAAATCAAAAAAGAAATGTATGGGGATATTATGTTAAAAATGTGTAATATCAATACTGACAGATATTTGAGAAACATTTCCTTTGGGTTGTTATTGATCATAAATGAACATATCAACTATATCAAAAGAAACATTTCAAAGTCAATAGCGGTTCTGTATAGATCTAGATGTATATTCATTCATAAGGCTCCGAATATAATCTAGTGCTCTCTTATTGCTCCTTATATATCTCACTGTGAGGAATAACATGTGCTTTGCGGTGTTTGTGAGGAATGTTTTTCAAACTTCAGACAGCAATAAGATAGTATCTGTGTTGTTTTGCCTCTGCACCATAGATCCTTATACAAGATAAGCTAATTCTCTTCTTACAAGGTTTAAGAAGCTAATTTAAGAATTTTATCAATCTTCTTTTCCACAAGAAAATTAAGTGATGAACTGAATCTGCAAGTCTGTGTGAACATGAAAACCTCAGACTTATCCAACCAGAGGCTCCCTTTCAAAATTCCCCTCCACATTCTATTTTTCATCGCATTGATGAATCACATAACAAAGCCTCTGTTGAAACATTTTATCAGATGTCCTATCTGATCACACAGAACCTCATCAAGAAAACCAAAAGGGATAGGCCTATTTCCCAAAACTTGAACTATTTCTATTAGTGTTCATGTGTACTTCCTTAGAGTAGATAATTAGGTCATATGTATGTTATGGAGCATGTTTTGTAACCAGCAAGGCGAGCCGTGGCCCAGTCAAACAAATATGTGACACCACAGACAGCCTCCCTTTAACCCCCACTCAGCAACCCGTCTAGCTTCTGCTAATGCACTTTATTGACCAAACAGGCAGGAGACGTGACCCCACAGCGCCAGAAACAACCACTTACAGCACCTTTGTGGTCTACCTCCTGCTGCTGAATGCCTCGAATTGTGTGATTAATCGTGCGTGAAGCAGGCTGTGTGTGTTTAACTGACTATAAGGGGAATATGTTATAGAAGCAAAGGGATAAGATTATATAAAATTTAGGGCTGTTAGCATCAACTAGTTAATCACAATTAATTAAGGTCTTAAATTAATACATTCATATTTTTAATCGCAAGCTATTTTGTCCTTTAAGGCGCACCGTGGATAAGCCTTTGCAATGTCTCCCAGTAGTCGCAGTGATGGAAAAGAACAACACTGCTGCATCATTGAATGTCTCCTTTCACTTTTGAAAAACTCTCAGACAGCTCAGTTGACGGCTCAAAAGTAATACACTCACTTCCCCTTCAAACTGTTCCTTTGAGCTTTTTACTTCAGTTTTTGATCCATAAGAAGTTTATTTTTCCGTGGTTAAGTGAATGTTGTAACCGTGATCTACCAGAAGGTCCTTACTTTATTTCAAAATAAAAGCCTCACAATTTTTATTTTTAAATGCGAAATAATGGAATTTCAAACCTATGATTAAGAGTGCGATTAATCAGGATGAACTTTTGAAATTTTGCAATTAATCACAACGGAAAATGTTAATCGTTTGACAGCCCTAAATGCATATTTCCTCATGACAACAACTTCTTTAAGATGTTCTGCTTTGAGAATATGAACTTTAATCATTGAAGGTTTATTTTTTTATTTCATATTTTTTATTTGAATACACTAACATTTATCCTGCATACTCTTATGATGTGGTCTCTTTTTTTATACAAGATGTGATAAATGTGACACACAATGTCCATCCTTCTGTCCTGTACTGCATCTGGTTTTATGTGTAGAATATTTCCTACAAAACCTTGTATTTCTGTAGAGAAAAAAATCTTCAGGTGACAGCGGATGACTAATTGAAAATTTAACATTTAGTTCACGTTTGCTGGAAGTAATTCAGCTGTTACTGTTGCTCTTGGGGTGCATCCTGTTCATGTTCTGAATGCTTCATGGAGCTCTTACCAAAATTCAGGCAAGAAAATTATATTCCGCATGCTGGTTCTATATTTCATTTTTCATACTATAGCCATACCAGGATAAGGTGTTTGTCCTCTGGAAGCAAACTGGCTCACAAGAGGATTATCCTCTTCATATTGCAAGTGACAGTTTGCTGTGCAAAGCATATCAGGATACCATCAGTTGGCCTGCTTTCTTTTAGACAAACACCAACGCTTCACATGTGCTAGCTTGCTAAATAATTGTCTTTTCCATTACAACAAATGTCATATTTCCAGGTAGCTTGTACAAGCAGTAAACGTACAAGCTAACCCTGCAGTGGGCATGCACTTTGGCCCAATTTGAATGTTGTGTTTACAAGCTGACTAACATTGCTACTGACTCTACCTCTAGGAAAGCCTTCATGCACCCTACATAATGGTAACCATTTATATTAACAGAGACATGCTGCGTGTTGATATTTACCACCCACTCTTTCTGCAAGATGCAAGTCCACAGCCTCTTTAGTGCTGGTTTGTAAAAAAAAAGAAAAAAAAAAAAAAGAAAAAAAGATAAGCAACTGATTGAGTCACAGAAAGACAGAATAGTGATGTGTCTGGATAGTTATTAAAAACATTAGAGCAAATATATAACTTCTGGTCACGGGTCTGATCTATGCAGACAACCTGGAAAACTAATCAGAGATACAGCGTGCAAATCATCAAAAACCTGCTTCATTGTTCATCACACCTTACCTAAATGATCAGATATTATCAAAAGCCACAGATAAGAGATAACAGCCACATGATGTACTTTTGTGACATAAAACCTCTATTTACCACTTTTACCACAGTCTCGGAAAGTAAGTGGTGTTTTCTAATTCAAGGATTCAACACATCCTGCCTCATAAAACCAGCCTATTTCCTGTAATGAACTCTATTTTAAAGAAGGTTTGACATGGTGATCGTGGTGTTGAATTGACTTCCTGGATGAGAGTTATAGAAGCCTGCAGCGAGATGTGATATATACATCAGTGACTCACGAATAATTATCTCACACGTTGGAGAAAGTATTTTAAAATACTGTTTAAGGACAGCTAAATAACAGAATACACTATATAATTAATTTCTGACATAATATCTAATGTGTTTTAAGTTCAGAAAATGTTGTAGACAGGTTAAGATTGACCTTGAATTGAATTTCTTGACCTTTGAGGATCTGAATGCCTTCATGCAGTCTGCATGTGAATCCATCCTGCACAAGTCTCATCCTCAAAGCCAGCCTATCTTTTTAGACACGCTGCAAGTTTGTTTTTGCATGGTTGTAGGTGATAATAAAGCACAAATATGTTGTTATTACAAAGTTTCAGCCGTTGCATTTTATTCCTGAGTTTGCATTTGCTTTTGAATGTGTAGCGTTTCTGAATATCCATCCATCCATTATCTGTTGCCCCTTTTCCTGTTAGGGGTTGCAGGGATGCTTGAGCCAATCCCAGCTGTCATTGGGCGACAGCGTTTCTGAATATGCTGCACGTTTTTCTAAATGTGCATGTTTGAAAAGTTGCAGAGCCTTTGACCCCTACCGCCCACCGCCGTAGACATGTGCTAAGCTACAGACAATTCCCTGCTGAAAAAATGCATTTGTGACTTGAATAACACACAAATGCAGTTTGTAAATGCAGATTCAACAGCTATATAAATGTGGATTTCTATTACATAAATAAAAACAACAAATATTTGTGTGATTTTCTTATATGTGGATTTTTCTTTTTGCATTCATATACAACGATAAATATTTGTGTGCATTGAAAAATATTTTTGTGGATAGAGCTCACCTAAAAATAATCATAAAATACATTTGTGATTCCTTCTGTGTGCATTCATTCATATTGAGACCCATGGAACTTCATAGATTTATGCATTACATTTTATTGCATAAAAAACAGCATTCTTTTAAAACATATGCATTGGGTTTATTAATGACAAAAACAGCATTGCATATTTCCTGAAAAACATCAGTCAGTTTTGAAATGTCAAAAAATGACATATAAAAGTAAAACTTATTTACTCTTTACAATGAAATGTAACAGACGCGGGCCCTTTTTTGTACAGGTAGCTTTCTGAGTCATTATAAACTGCTGATAAGACATTTTATTTCAATACACGTCAACAATCTTAAAAGACTAATTTCGGACATTTAATTAACGAACTGAGTTCAATTAAATTTAATCTGAACAAATTATGATAATAAAAAAAGTACTTCAATATTGATAATATATCACACCAATTCATTTAATTTAATATTTTTCCTGTGACTTTCACAAAACAATTGACTGTAGGAACTAATGGCTATAATCCTTCAACATTAAAAATAAACATTAGAAATTCAAAGGGAGACACTAAACAGGTCCAAAAAGTACATCTCGACTACAAAAAAAGAAAACAAACATATGTACAAAACGTTATATGTCATACATGAGGAAGAATGTAATAATTACTCATTGAGGAAATTGTCAGAAAATATCCCTTCAAAACTTGAGAGGTAAAGTTTTTTGAGGTAGAGTGTTTATATATTTCTCGATATAGTTTGGACTGAGATTTGTAAACAACCATTTCTAACACAATCAGGCAGTATTATCCTAACAGGTCACATAAACCCTTCATATATACAATGTACTAAAGAAATAAATATGTACAACATAAGTCTGTAAGAAGATGTAGGCACGGTGAATTGGCACACTTTATTTGGTGCATAAAAACTGTATAAGCCAGCTGGTAAATACTTTTAAATCATGTGCTGTGCTCGCTAAACATTCATCATCTATTTCTAGTCAGTTTACGACATCATCGTCAGCCTCTCCATCTACTGCTACTCCCATTGTTTTGCACAGCTTGAGTCCAGTCAGAATCTCCAAAAACTGCCTTTAATTTGAATTTGATTACAATGTTTTCGTTTGGATTATCGATTGTGGTTTTCACAACCTCAAGATTTAGAATTGTACGGAGGTTCATGTAATCCTAGACTAGACTAAAGTTTGGAGTCCTTTGAAGGAAACATTAAGTCCAAAGAAGACAAAATCAGATACTGAAGAGCATCACTGTTGATATGCAATGATATGCGACATGGACACTCACAAAGCGGACGACTTCCACGATTAGCTAACATAAATATTGAGATTGTGAACTTTTAGACGGCACATCTCGACTGTGTTTGAACTTATTTACAATACAGTATAAAAATATTCATAAGCAAACCAAAAGCACAAATCTAACAGCCACTCCTAGAAATAAATACCTTCATTCAGTTTATAAATGTTGAACTCATTCCTGTTTGAGATGAAGTTCTTCTCAGAGTCTCTTAAACCAGACCTCATAGAGATACTGCTACAATTTGATTTAGGTACTTAATTAAGCTTCTTTAAGGATTTAATGATGATCTTTTCATAACCTGCTATGTGTGCCTTCCAGAGGTCTATTCCTGGACACATATCTTGATGGCATATGTCCATTTCCCCGTGGAATTTGTATTTACTACAGTATAAATGTTAAGATGTGTCACTATGCAGATGATCCACCGCTTTACCTAGTTGAACCTACTGAGCTAGCATGGTTACCACATTCGTTGTTCAAACCTAAATTATTGTAACAAATATTACCAAATACACCTTTAATTACTCCAAACCATTGCTCCTTTCACTCTGTTACAAAATGAAGAATATTTTCAAGTTCTCTTCAAATCATCAACAGAGAAGTTTGAAGGCACACTGATGTGGTGTTCTGTCATATTTTTAAATACTGCACTGTAAAATTGTAATGACTGTTTTTTTTACAGGTAGTTTAAACAATAACAGTTATCTATTGCAGCGTTAGCTCTCATTGATTCTCGCTTCAGGGCTATGTAGATATGATTCAAGCATTTTGTGTGCACAAGAGAAAACAGTTTGGACTGTTGTCTGATTTCAGTCACTGTAACTGAATGAAAACTTATTTTGTCTTTAACTCACATGTTTTTGAAGTTTTAAGGCCCTTTAACACATGCACTGCACTTTTGAAGAATCCCGAAATTGTCAAGTTGAGCTGCATGTGTGAATGCATTGGCAGAATTTATTAGCTACACTTTATCCAGAACTTTTCCTGACAGATGACAAGTAAAAGTCTGCAAGAGATTATGGTGAGCCGATGTGTAAACTGTAGGTCATAGTCAGGAAAATTCAATGCTAGGAAGTGTGCGGTGAGATTATTGGGGATGATGAGGGAAATGTTTAAATCATGCAACCAATGAAAAATAGTTTGATCTTCTTGCGTGTGATGAAGCTTCTTTGTTCTCTATTCTGCTTGCCAGCATGTTTTCCATTACTTCATTGATAAACCCACATCCTCAAACCAATACGATCTTGATGCACTTCATACTCTTTTCTTCTCACCAGCATGTTTGTTTCCACTGTTTTCAGTAATTGTATTTTTTTCTGAAAACATACAGCATTTATATTAAGGCAAAAAATATCATATAATGTCGGACCCTGTTGCTACGTCCGGCATCTTAAATATGTTGTTATCATTTCTTTAGGACTTGTGCAGCATCCATTCTACCTCATGTCCTTTCTCCTAAGCCACTCCCCCCACTCTTCTGACAGCGAAAAATCTCCCATTGTGAGGGACATGTGTTAAAAGGGGAACGCTGGAAAATGTGAGGGGCAGGCTGTCCTTAAAATGTCTTGAAATTGTTTGGAGTGCATGTGTGAAAGGGACTACAGTTTTATAATATCGTCAGCCCAATTGTCACACTCAACTGTTTGTCATTCACCATATGCTCTAACCTGACACCCAGTTATGTGTGGTTGTCTTCACCCTCTGAGGAAACCCATAAGGCCCAGCCGCGGGGTCAAAGTTAAAGTCAAGTGCCCCGCCATCCATGAGGGTGTCATGTAGGACGGTCTCCATGTCGCACTCAAACCTCTCGATGGACATGTTGTCCAGGTCACTGGGTAGTCGCTCATGATGAATGTGTTGGTGAACTGGATTTAAACCCCTAAAGCTATTGTTGCTTGCTGAAACGTCAGAAGGGTAAGCTGGGTGTCCACGGGGTAGTTGCATACATGTCCTAAGGCTGTTCATTCGAGGAGGAGCCCCTGACAGTCCATTGCGACTAGTCAGGGGGATCATGTTACAGCTATTCAAGTCTCGTGAGGTTGAAGGACCCCGGCTATGTATAACTTGTGGATTCACATGAGGAACTGGGTGACTCTGTAAAGAATTCAACATTTTAACCCCATTACGACCCCCCATGTGGCTCTGGCTGCTGTAAGTGGGCATTAGCCCGCTCGCCCTCCCAACCTGAGCCAGCTGTGTATCACTAGAGGGCATCCTGTCCCTACTGGATTCTGCATCTAAGGTCAACAGCTCTTTCAGTAGGCCAGGAGGGCTGATATATGGGTTCTCATAAGCCCCAAAGCCTGGCTTAGTCTCTGGAAGTATCTGCATTGGAGCAGGGGACAGGGAGTTCATCCTCACCTGGCTGTACACACGCTTGTGGTAGTCCTGCTGTGGGTGTGCGATCAAACAGGTGGCGCTGTAGGGGCTACTCTGAAGCATGGCAGCATTTGGGGAATGAGAGGAGTCAGGACCCAGCTGGGAGGATTTAGGAAACACCAGGTTAAGGTTATCCAGCAGACTATCCATGACCCCCTCTTGGCCATGTCGGCCCACAGGTCCATCCATCTCGGACAAGCTCGGCAGGGGGGAGGTTATCTTGGTCCCTGCAGCTTTAGGATACATCATGTGGCCATCGGACTCCCCTAGGTCATCCTGTTCAGAAGGGAAAGGTGAATGGCGACCACTCAGGGTGCTGGCGTCAGAGCTGGTGCGTGTCCTAAAGGAGCTCCAGGCTTCAAAGTCCTCGTTGCTGTGGGAGTTTGGGCTTCCCATCCAGTTAGAGTACTGGGAGCCAGGACTGCCAGCTCCCTCAACCCCTTCCTGTAGAGCCATCTAGGAATCATAACATAAAGTTTACACAGGCTTAACGAAAAAATATCAAATTAAAATAAATAATTTATCATCGAGAGAATTCCATCATTTGCCAAGATTAGGATGAGAACATGAACCCATTGATGTTAACCCTAGAATTGTATGACTATTCCTTTAACCTAAAGTCAGCAGAATTGTGAGAAGAACTCTATAGCCTAACAACAAACACTGATAGCCTTGTTGATAACTGTACCTTTTTCTTTGAGGCCCTCCCTCTGATCTTGGCCAGTTTACTGTTGTTGTCCATGGAGGCAGCTCTGCGTCGAGGTGACTTTCCACTCTTTCCCCCCTCCGGGTTCAGCATCCACCAGGAGCTTTTTCCTGTTCCCTCGTTCTGTATGCGCACAAAGCGACTGTGCAGCGACAGGTTGTGTCTTATGGAGTTCTGAACAGGAACAGAGAGGAAATGTGTAAGTTGTCTTTATTTCATTAAGCACTGAAAGTCTTCTATGCAAATAAAAATTGACCCTTTGGTGTAAAGAAAAAAAGAAGCACTTGTGGCATTATCACTTGTTGCTCTTCTGCTCCTCAATCTAAAAAAATACATAATGGAGAAACCTTCATTGGACCAATCAGATACAATCAATCACAGCTCATGTAAAAATGCTTGTACAAAACGATCCTCTGTGTGTTTCATCTTACAGTTACTCAACTGAAAGATGAACTAAAAAAACCTCCTGAGTAAGACAGAATGTACCTCCCTACGTATGTCCATGTGGTCCCATTCGTCCTTGTGCTAACATGTATACATCTAAATCATCGTTCAGTCTATTTTCTCTAATGCTATGTTATGAAACCTAAAAAGAACGCAGCGGCGTCTCCTGCGGTAATTCTCTCAGGAAGAAAAACAACGATGGTTGAGGAGGTCATGCAGGACACACACGTAATGTACAGTCTGGTCTTTCTGAAGAACAAAATCTTAGAACTACACAACCCATTTCTCGCTCTGGATGGTGGGCACAATAAAAGACACTAGCAGGGAATTCCCCCAAATACCCATGTGAGTTCAAACGCAGCTCCCTGCATTTAGTAAAGCCAGATGTCCCAAACCACAGGATTCAACGGGGATGCACACAGCATGGAGATAAAGACACTCACACTGAAACAATAGATGGATTGTCTGAGTGTGTGCTTTCAGCAAATGTTTTCAGCAAAGATGTGAAGATAGTGTATCATATCAATGTCAATCTGTCACAATGTTAAACAGAATTAAATCTTATTCTGTACGGTTTATCCCCAAATAATTCAGTAAAATAATACTGACTCTTCTGAGAGGAAAAACTCCTAAAATTAAATAATTATTTCACTTTGAAAATGTTTCTTTTTAAGTAAGAAAAAACCTCATTCATACACTTCTTAAAGCTGGACAAGGAAGCCTCACAACAGAATCATAATTGTCAAAAGAGTATTGTTTCAGATGAGAGTCCCCATATGGAGGCACTGAACCGCTGCAGCCACCAGTGCCTCCCACTAAACATCAACAGCAGTGCTGTCTCATCCTCATGCTCTGAGTGGAGGCAGTGAGCTGTGCACGAATCAGAAGTTTCTACTGAAAAAGAAAGCATGGGGAGGTTACAGGGTTCGAGCGAGGATGGGGAGGGAGACATAGTGAGATGTTTTTGCCGGCAGAGCTGAGGTCAATGAGTTCACTGAGCGCTGAACACGAGCTCCTCAGCCGGCGCTGACAGAGACATGCAAACAGGTTGGATGGAGTGGGAACAGGGAGGAGAAGCATCAAATGTGACATGCTGGCTAAGGACTGCCTCACCACAACAGAACCCCACTGATCAAGACTCCTCCCCTTTTCTTCCCCCGAGTTTTAAAACAAGGCTTCCTGTGTCAGAGGACAACCTGCACATGCATAGAGAGCCTTGAGGTGCACTTTACAGTCATTGCATGACTGCAAAATGTAATGCTTAGTCTCATTAGTGATCTTGTGACCTTTTATGCTCCCCTTTTCACTCTGTACAGATTTCTAAATGTGAAAGCAAAGACAGGAAATGAGTCATTAGTGGAGGACCTGAGCTCTGTACAGCGTGCTGCACAGGCGTCACCGTCTAGAAACCAACTTCTGTCCCACTAACTGAATGGTATGGTTTGAATTTGGGCTGCAGAAAAATGTCATAATTATCACAATATGGGCATTTGCAAAAAAGGACACCACAAAAGACTATCACAATAAATAAGAGAAGTTATTTCATGTAAAAACAAGCAATGCTTTCTTGCAGCAAGGATATATTTTACCTGGTGGATGGCGGCCTGGGTAAAATGTTCATGCTATCATACCATTATTAAGTTACATGATGCTAAGGCTAGTTGGTATCAACACTCAGAAAACTTCACGTCACATAAAAGTTGAATAAAACGATTTGATTTATTTTGGATCAGAAGAAACATTTTAAAAACTTGAGTTTTGTGTTAAACTTGAAGAAGAGCAGATAGACAGAACAACTGTGAGTTCTTACAAATATGCATCATTTAATATTTGTTAGTTTTTCACACACTTTATATCTTAAATGCATTATTGAACATTGAACTGTGAGAGTGTTTCCTCTATAGTGCAGGCCTCGTTTGAACATGCCTCAGATCACTTGTGATATGCAAATGCTCACCGCCTCTGATTAGAGCCCACAATAGATCATGAACTGCATGACTGGGCCCTGGGAAGAACTATTCTCTGCACGGCCTGGGATAATCCTTGTCTCAGACAGACCTCACCTCAGCCCAAAGAGAACAAAAGACGTCCCCCGCCTCACTAATTCAGGAGGTGCCTCATTCACACATTATTCCTCTGAAAGCCCGACCCAAGGTGGCCTATAAGCATCTTTGTTGCTAAACTTTTTTATAAACTGATTGTTATGGCCCTCACTTTTGAGTGACTTTAAAAGGGTAAAATATGGGCACCTGTAGCTGCAAAACATATGTGAATGTGAAACATAAAAAAAACCCTAAATAATCTTTATTGACCTTTCTCTGAGACTGTGGAAGTTCCCAGGCATAGATTAGGCGGCCTTTCAAACAGTAGGTTGAACAAGATTTAAGACACTAATATGTTATATCCTTGGAGAAATATTACAAGACAATGCTGCTTTTCCTTTGCACATCTTTTCTAGAAAACTCAATATCTTGCATTGTGTTTGTGTATGATGCAGGCAGGGGACACTTCAGCTGATATGTCGGATTTAAAAGTCATTTCTGCATCATTCAAACTTTGCAAAAACCTTTTAAAAAAGGAGGAATTCTTTTTCTTGTTGCTCATGGTGTCACAATGGTGCTAAATCTGTCTAAAATTAACACTACATTGGCTAATGTGTGAGTTTTAATGTCACTCTGGGTCAATTGGTGAAAGGGCACCAGAAATGGGAACAGTCCTTTTGCCTCTGACAGACACTTTTTTCAGTCTGTCCTTAAAAATGCCACATTAAGAACAGCAAGCAGAAACCAGTGGACTGTCCTGCCCTGAGACGACCTGCTGCGACCCAGCTCAGATATATACTAGAACATATTTTGGACATCAAACCACCAATATACAACTTTTCAAATGAATCCAGTGTCCTGAAATCACATGTGATCGATCTTATATAGACACACTGCGGCAGCCTGAAATGACTCCGCCTACTGGACTTCAAAACAATCACATTGACACAGCTGCTGCTTCTTGTGTAGTGAAGCATGAGGCCTGCAGTAACGGTCACAGGATAAGTAAACAAACAGAGCCCAGTTTCAGGGACAGGTGCAGCCCCAGAGAAAGTGGCCTCACTTGCTACACTTTTAACGTTTTACATACTCTCTTTACAGACACAACCACATACAGGACGGAGGATCTCCCAGGAGAAGAGCCTCTGTAGAGCAGCTGCTGCTCAAATCATAACTTAGTTCTGTATGAATGATGAGGCCCTTTGGTTGTCACAAAAGATGGTATTTTTGAGTTAAAAATTGATTCATTTGGCACTTTTATTCTTGTCTTTAAACTAAGAGGTCTATTTGTTGGTCTGGGAGGGTTGTTTACAGGGCGAAGGGATACTGAGGGATGAAATATATATTCATTTGAACCTTTAAGATTGATTTCTTCCCCCTATACTTTGCATTAAAACACACTCAAATCGGACTAACTATGACAGAAACCATAGTTGATGAGGTTTGTTTGGAAACGTATTATCATCTTCTAGTTTCTGCTGGGTGTTCCACTGGTTTCGATAACCTCAAAAAAGTTTCTTCTCATGTGCAATAATGTTTTTTTGTCATCAATTATTTTGTAAAATTACATGTTTTTTTTTTTTACTATTCAGAATTATCCTCGCCTCTCTCCAAGTGACAGCTGGGAGGCGCTCTAGCCCCGAACAAACTTGAATTTGATAAGCGATAAGATGATGGATGGATGAGTGTATGGACAAGAGGATTGGTGATGACTGGATGGGTAGACGCATGATTATATAGATTGGCCAATTGGTGTATGGATTGAAGTTCGGAATATGCTGAGAGATAACGATCATTATCTTGTTTCTTTGCATTCTCGGCATTCTGGTGTTAGCCTTCTTTATTATTTTGTTATGCAGTCTTTTAAAAGTATTTTAAAAATACAAAAATAAGTTCACAACTAACAGGTAAGTATTCCACATTGAGAATCGCTACCCCTACAAAGCAGTCTACCTGTGAAACATAATGAAAGAGCACAGATCTCATAGTGATTACTGTAAAAGAATAAGCCACTTCCTGACAATGTCTTCCTGTGCACCACCCCACCCCCCCACCCCTCTTCTCCTCTGACCCAGGAAGTGCTAACAGTGTAGTGCAAGCGGGACCTGAGTTTCTGTTACAGTGGGTGGGGAAAAAAAAAGACGAGCTCTGCTGCAGATGAAAGACAACACTCAAGTTCAGTGTGGAGACCGTGTCACCTCTTCATGGCTGCAGGCACAATGCAGGCTACTTGAGTAACACTGTGCATCAAACTGAATGACCTACTTCTCCAATTGCTCCAAAGCAGATCCATGAAAAGCCATGCTGAGCTTTGTGTCTGGAGTTGTGTCTTGGAGTGAAACGAGGAGCGGGCAAATGACAAAGATTGACTGTTAAACACTTTACCTTCTGAAATATTGATTTAAAGGATTAAAAATAACACTTAAGTCATACTAACTACTCAAAAATACCAAGCTGATTAAACTTGATCTTAAATCTTAGCCTGAGCTTGAGTCTGGTACGCATTCTTTGCACACTTTAAAGGGTAAAAAGGCCAACTCATTTGCAGGATTGGACATTAATCTCAATTACTCTTTATCCGGCTTCTTTTCTTCAGGTCATATTTCCCCCCCTCGGCCACTCGCGTCCTTTATACTTTGCATAATAGACTTCAGGCCAGGTTCTTTTTGTGAGCATAATAAAGAAGGG